ATTTATCAGGCAAGATTGGATTGAAACACTAAGCACTTCACGAATATCTGCCCTAACCTTCATCTGTGTGCCAGGTTATGCGGGCGTTCAAGGGAACGAGCGTGCAGACTATCTTGCAGACACTGCAGTTGATATGGCTGGCCCAGTACTAGACAGAAGTGATGTTATCAATGCCATGCGCTACACTTACCGTACCTAGGAGCACGCCAAAGGACATGACTTCATATCCCTGTCTAGACTGATGGACATGGGGGTGCAGCCTGGAGCTGCAAGATATTAACATTTCACTAAGAGGACAAGACGTTTCATTAACCAACACAGAACTGGCGTCATCAGTTGTTTTACTCTTGTGGAGCTTTTGAGGAGGAGATCGGAGCACTTATGGATCTGTCCGGAGTGCTGTGATGATAATCCTTTCTAATCACTAATCACTAATCACTAAGTTAATTATTTTCTGCGTGATTACATAGTGCCCTATTATTTTCCAGAGAGATTCCATATCAATGCTTTCAAAAGCTTTTTCATAGTCTATGAATCCAATGTAACGTGGTGAATTTAATTCAATGCTTTGCTCTATTGTTGTACGTAATGTGGCTATCTGGTCAGTGCGTGACCTGTTTGGCCGAAAACCTGCCTGTTCATCTCTTTTTTTCAATAGCCTCTTTTAGTCTTTCTAAAACAAACTACTTAAAATTCTCCCCAGAAGTGACAGCAGCATAATTCCTCTATAGTTTTCTCACTCCTCTAGATTCCTTTTTTTGGGCAGTTTCACAAGACATCATTCTGTCCAGTCTGCTGGTATTTCTTCGGTCTCCCAGAATTTACTAAATAATCTATGTAGTAATTCCGTTAATGTGTTTATATTGGCCTTAATAGATTCTGTTGGGATACCATCTGAATCTGCAGGATTTCCTTCCTTCAGTGCAACACTGACGTAAAAATGATTCTTTAACTTTTCCATAACCTTTGGCAGTCCCTGTCTATTTGTAAGGAATCAAGTTTGTATGTCTATAGTTTAACACCAGTTTTTATGCTCAAATCCCGACGAACAACTTCCCAAGGCTAGGCAAAAAATCGTGACTACCAATGAGAACATTAAACGTGCACACTACAGATAAGCAACTATCTGTAAAAACAGATAAAAACGATCTGCAGACACGCGCATTCGTTTAATTAGACTGGGTTCTTTTCGCTGTTCACACAAGAAAATTTTGTTACTGCAGACCTCGAAGCAAGATGTACAAATCCCTGTTTTTATTCTTTGCTCTGTTGATAACTGCAGCAACCGGTACGTCAACTTCTGTTTAGTTTCAGTGTCGTCTTTGACAGGGTTACACGAATAGAAAACGAGCGGGCTTCAAACAAATGTCTTTCAAACTGTCATATAAATTACAATAACCTGTCACTATTGTTGTTAAGAATGTCAAGAGTGTTAAGCACGTGATATCACTGTGCAGACGAACACGGCGAAATCGTAATGACAGTTTAAATATAACCGCCCCACTTTTGTCATGCACGAAAAAGGAGCAGTGTTTTTGCAGTCTATTTTTTGATTAGTGAAGGAGTAAAACCAATAGAAAGTCGTCAGCGAATGAAGGTATGATATGTTGATGATATCTTGTCAGTCCATCGAGTTTGGAGTAGAGTAGAACATTTCAATCGGAGTGATTTCTGTGACAGACTGTTTACGATCGAGGCGGTTGCACTGAGTAGTGGTGATCCTAGTCTCGATTGCAGCCGTTGAAAGAAGACGTTGAAGACACTCATATACCTGCCTGGACATATGCTGGACACGTGATGTCACTTGCTGAACACTCTTGACTTCTTTAACACCAATATTGATAGGTTACAAGACAACGGCATGTTTATTGTAAACTCTTTACACCTTTAAGGAAATCATTTGAAGCCTTTCTGTACTTCACTTTGACACAGCAAAGGTACAATCTGGCATGATTCGTTGATACCATGTCAAAGTCGCCTAGGTGATTTTTTTTCCTCGACTTTATCTGATTGCACTTTGAGGACCTGTTATTTGTCACTTTACAATATGGCAAAGGCAAACTTGTCAATTTTTACTTTAAAAAAGACTAAAATGAAGTCTTACTTTTCAAGCACACAATTTTAATTTACCACTCAATGTTCCAGGTGACTTTAAAACTAAACAAGAAAAGTTAAGGACCATTTCCCCCACCTTCGGGCGTATTGGGCATATATTGCTAGACCTGTATTTTACAGATAAATGAGCACTTGGTGGGTGACATGGCCAACATGACGCCGCCCGCCTTTACTTCTCAGGACTTTATCTGGTACCCATTGAAGGCTGAGTTTACCTTGGAGCTGAGGTCATTTTGAAAAACGTCTAGCTCTGCCAGGACCCACACCCTACACCTTCGGATTTGCTGTCGAGCATCTAGCCGCTACACCACTTTAGCCACTTTAGCCAAAGGTAAGTAAAGTAAAGATCCCCTTTCAAGCCTTCATGCGTATCGAGTATATGGGAAGAGCACACCATATTCTTACAGACCAATGGACACTAACTAGGGTAATGTGGTCAGCATTACGCCAGCCGTCTTTACTTTCCGAGGACATACATCATGGTACCCATTTTAGGCTGGGTCGACCTGCGACACCCAATACCTTTAGAAAAATCCACGCAGCCAGGAGTGGGATTCGATCGCGGTACGTTGGAATTACGAGTCGGACTCGCAACGCCTAAGCCACGGACGCTGCCCCTAGCCACTTTAGCATAGTGATATTGATCACTTATGAAGTTATGTTGGATAATATGATAACATCAGCCTGAACTCTTTCAGTACCAAAACAACTCACCGTGCGTTTCTTGGTCATTCTGAAGATAACGTCGCAAGTCAAATATAAGATTGATTTGATTTGATTTGATTCAAGAACCGACATCACAGCACTCGGGGCATTCCCATAAGTGCTCCGTCCCCATCTTCAGCAGCGAGCGAAGAGTTCCGATACTAATGGTGCCAGTAGCTTTCTGATTAAATGTCCGTCTTGCCTTTTCTCTGAGCCTTGAGCTTCTGCCAGAACCTCTCGTCACCCCCAACTGCATCAATCTCACCAAACTGTGGTGATCCATCTGCTCCTCCGCATTGTACATGCTCTCCCACAAGGCACTAACCACGTCTGCCCTATCATATAGCAGTATTCTACCAGGTTGTGCAGAGCGAGCCAGTCTGTCCGCCTGTTCATTTCCCAACACACCGGCGTGACCCGGTGAAAAAATTGAGACAATACTCCTCACTCGTGTCCTCCGCAGCGAACCATGCCACTCTGCACGAAGCATACCTGTTCTGATCTTCCTCAGCATGCTTTCTAAATCAGTTACAATTACAATGTGTGTGTGTGTGTGTGTGTGTGTGTGTGTGGTGTTTTCTAGCCAGCGGAAAGCTGCAGTGACCGCCTTCACCTCCATTCTTAAGCTGGATGTTGTAGTATCATATGCTAGGCTCTTCTGCACCAAACGTCGACCATTAACTTTTGTTAAAAAGCCCCAAGCACTTCTTTTGCCTCTTGACACTGAACCGTCTGTGTAAATGATCAAATCCTCTGAGCGAGCATTATCTCGAATTAATTGCTGAATTTCCACCTCTGTAGCACCTGCTGGCCAGTCTCTGCATTCCCGGCTCAGCGTGATTATGACTCAAATATAAGATTTTAACATTCAGTACCCTTGATCAACATCAAATATCTAAAGCAATACCACATATTATTCTGAGGATGTTTCTATGACTTTTAATTTGTATACAAATATATTCATATTAAATATACATGCTGAATGTAACTACATACGTTTCTTCTGATAGCCATATTACGTATGCATGACAAACACCACAATATATACATGTATAATATATATATATATATATATTTACATCCATACATAAACACACACATATATATATTTACACACACACACACACACACACACACACACACACACACACATATATATATATATATATATATTATATATATATATATGTATATATATATATATATATTTAGAATAGGGGCTTTTAAGCTGAAATGCTATTTACAGATTCTTAGTAAACCATGGACAAAGAAAAGAGGAAATATTGACATTTTAAAAGATCGGAACACAAGAAGGATTGGCTAATAAACACACACAAACACTTGTGACTAATTTAAACCTATAGTCAGTATAAACTGCACAATGTGATGAGACATAATAACAGTACATACATCCTTAACATACGATTGACAACTCTACCTATATTATTTTAATCAAAATATTCATAATGTTGTCTAGTGTCACAGATATGGTTATATTAACCCACTGTATATTAAATGTCATTTCAACAACTTTTGTTCCATATTATCTCAGTGTAATCCTTCGTTCATTTGGGGATTAAGGGGTCACATGTTGTGTGTGTTTATGGGAGGCGGGGGGGGGGGGAGAGGAGAGGTAGAATAGGTCCACTACCTCAAACAAGCATGTCGTAAAAGTTCACTAATAAAGACTTTGCTGAAATCGGATGTGTTTGGCAGAAAAGGCACTGATATTACAGTGTAGCTGTAAACCACAATTTGGCGTGCGACACTTTTTAAAAAGACAAAGCAACATAATGATAATGATGAGAATAATTTAACTTCTCCCCATGTGGGTTCCAGGGCCCCATTGTGGGGGAAAACAAGAATAGACCCACTGCCTGCTCAAAAGTATGTCATAAAAGTCGACTAATTGGGAGCTTCCTTCAAAGTCGTAGTACATCTGCATGAGAGGCAAGGAACCAACAGTATGCATTAAATAAATCAGGCCTGTAAAACGGATATACACGCAACACTCAGTTTCTGGAACCCAGGAGTGAACGAACAACCAGAACTTTTCCGCCGGAGTTTACAGCCGGCAAACGCGAAGAAGAAGAAGATTTAACTTCAAGTTCAACCCTTTCTACTTCTTATTGCTAAAACTAATGGTGCGAATTACACTATTTTTTTTCTCCAGTACACAGTGTACCTGTTGGGGTCGATGAGCCATGCGAGCCTGGTATGGCATGCATAGACCTGTATGAGCCAGTGTGCGGCGCAGATGGTAAAACTTACGGCAACTCTTGCGAGTTTGAAGTTTGGACCTGCGGCAAAATCGCCCTGGCCTACAAAGGAAGTTGCTAACTGGAAACATACACACAGTCGTTGTATTTTCATTTTGCTTGTTTTGAAAATAAACGTCACTGTCACCCTTTATTTTCGTTTCAACCCCTGCCCTCTTGCATTCGTTACATGTTTTTATGTCTCTCTCTTTAAAGTGTGGTCAAAATTATTTTGTTCGATTGCCTAGGAGAATTATTTACAACTGACAACTTTCCGTCTGTGGCTAAGCTTGCTTTACCAAAAAATCGTCACGTTCAACCAACTTTAGGTTATAATTGTGACTAGGTTATGTGAGTCACATAAAATGGCTTAACATTGCTCGCCACCAAGTAGCTATGAAAAGGACTTCTGCAGTGGTAGTGCAACCAAACGCGACAGACCTAAATATTGTCCCGACCTGCGACGAAGTCGTCTACGGGCTAGCCAATGGGCGACCCGGTCGCCGATGAACTTTCCATATATCCAGTTTTATACTGAGCTAATTAGCGGTTGGTTTCAGTAAATGAAATTATAGTAAAGAGCTGGTGGCCGAGTGGATATAAAGCTGGGCTCTTATACAGAAGACCCCCGGCTCAAATCCTTCGTACGTTATGGAAGTCTACTTTTGTGGTGATTATACTAAACATGCAGCCTTACATCCTCACGACAAGATATCAAACCAAACAAAAAGTAGAACCAGTCAGCTTTACATTATCACAAACACCAACAACAAATGAACGTTGCGGCAAGCTTTCGTCAGCACATTACATAAACATACAATACAACACATCTGAAGAATACACACAATCACTTAACTGAAGTATCTTCGAGAGAAATCATATATATGGTCTGACACGAGAGTGACCACCAGAGATAAATTTTAGCCTGAGAAACCTCAATTCCTCATGCTCAAGGAACCGCCCCTCACCCACCGCACAGCACCACCCTAAAAAGTTGTAAATACCGACAGTAAAGACAGTTAAAGTTTTTTTTTTTTTTTCAGAACTAGTGACAATGAGTGGCATAGTTTGCAACATTTCACTTTGTATAGATCATGTGTGTTGGGTTAGACTGACTCTTACAATTGACTTTATACGTCGTATTACTGCAGCCACAGACCATTTCTAATGCATAAACACAGAGAGAGAGAGAGAGAGGAGAGAGAGAGAGAGAGAGAGAGAGAGAGAGAGAGAGAGAGAGAGAGAGAGAGAAAGAAAGAGATAGACAGGCCTAGTTGAAGATGGATAAAGGAGTGACTGACAGCCGAAAACCATAACAAACAACACACAAAGCAAAAGTGCACTCCATAGCTAAGCGACATATCTTTTGTTACATTGTGACGTCAGCCGACACGAACAAGGTATTGGCCCTAAGAAAAGATGGGCGAAAGCTCCTAACATTATCTTTATATATATAAGGCAAGACGATGTAGATATACTATCAGATTATATAAGCTCCTATGTCCCTTCAGGATTACAGAACACGAACTAACTCATTTAGGCGAACAAACATGAACAATTTTGTTTTTTTCTCAGCATGAATGTATTATTCAAAATGAATCTATTAGTCCCCCGTTAACATGCATATCTAACCAGAATTGTTGATTTTTCTGCCCTCGGTATTTCAAACGAACGAGGTTTTACTGTATATGAAATAGAAAGAAAAGGACTATTTCCTTCCTGTGTGAGCATAGACTCGATCACTTGCTGGCAAACATTTCTAAGGCTGGAATCAACATCAGGGTGCATATTTTCGCAATGACCTCGCCCCCTAGATCGACCAAGCGTAAAATGGGTACCAGATAAAGTTCGGCAAAGTAAAGGCGGCCGGCATGATGCAGACCACATCACACACCGAATGCCCACTTGTCTGTAAAATATTATTCTAGCATCATATCTCCGATGCACCGCTGCTCGAGAAGAGTTCGTCGCTGTTTATCAAAAGCTATGAGACAACTGGAATGCATGGTGACAACAGAAACGTTTGGAGGGGAAGAGACCAGGAGAGACCAATAGAGAAGGTTTGACCAGTTTGTTAATTATGATTTTCCCTGTGGACATAGGGGCTCCATTTTGGAGAACAAAGAATGACCCCACTGCTCATCAACAAGCATGACGTAGGATGACTCAAATTTGGGGTGTTTCTTTTAAGTCGGACTACATTTGCCTGAGAGGACGGGTAAATTGAACTGTAGCTATGTTGCCCTTGTCAGTTCTGAAAAGTACAAGGAAAGAGGCTTAGAAAAATCGATTTTGACTGTCAAAAAGCATACTAAAAAATAATCTATTTCTGAATCTAAAAAAAAAGAAGAAGAAGAGGAAGAGTAGGAAAAAGAAGAAGAAGAAGAAGAAGAAGAAGAAGAAGAAGAAGAAGAAAAAGAAGAGAAGAAGAAGAAGAAGAAGAAGAAGAAGAAGAAGAAGAAAAAGAAGAAGAAGAAGAAAAGGAAGAAGAAGGAGAAGAAGAAGAAGACGAAGAGCAAAAGAAGAAAAAGAAAAATAAGAATAAGAATAAGAGGAAGAAGAAGAAGAAGAAGAAGAAGAAGAAGAAAAAGAAGAAGAAGAAGAAGAAGAAGAAGAAGAAGAAGAAGAAGAAGAAGAAGAAGAAGAAGAAGAAGAAGAAGAAGAAGAAGAAGAAGAAGAAGAAGAAGAAGAAGAAGAAGAAGAAGAAGAAAGTATATTGGAGTTAAAGATAAAGCATTCATTCAGTTACCTGCTTTGTTTGTTTGACTCGGTCGGACATATCTAACAACAACTTTGCAAAACTCATAAAAAGGCCAATAATACTGAAAAACTACAACAGGTATTTCAACTTTTGCAGCCCATAATGCCAGTTTGCCAGTGGTTCGTCCCTGCCCAATGGTCAGATGTGTGGATCCGCCTTATGTGCCTATGTGTGGGAGTGATGGAAAGACTTACAACAACGAATGTGACCTACTGGTCACATGTCTCACAGTGACTGTAGCCCATACAGGCGAATGCTAGAGGAGTAAAATGGAGTAGAATTATGGCTTCACAACAACCGATAAATTACTTGTTGTGTCCTCAAATCTTGTTTTAATAGCAGGATGATTTAGTTGCTATGTTCTTACAACCAGTCGAATCACACCTCAGCATTTGTACTGTATCTTTGGGGGAAAACTAATAAATGTAAAAAATAACAATTAGTTAAATGAGTTTTGCTGTCTGCATTTTAGTTAGTGATGAATATTAATTCAACATTTTTCAAAGTCTGTAGCTAGGTAGGTAAAGTGGTAATTAAGTTGTTAACTAAGCAATTAATAAGGTAAAGTAAAATTAGGTTCATAAATACCTATCTGTGACAAAGGAAGTTAGGTGGGAGAGTGGTTACCTCATCCGACACTAAATAATTTTACCTTTATGTTTCTTTCTAGAATTTAAAAATGTAATCTGATAAATGGTCTGTTAGGATTACTGTTCATAAGTTTTCATCTGCTGTGCAACTGTTAACGGTTAGATCACACACAGACGGTCTTTTGTATTTTTACGCTCTTCCAATAAAGTGAATGTTTCATTGAGTATTCCAAGATTAGAAGGAGAATACAGATTGTGTTGTGTAGCCACTCATATCACCATAATTATGGCCTGGAGAGAATGAGGCAACTGGGTGTAACCATAGTGTCTGGCCGGCTCACTACACTCAGAAGAAAGGCAAGACGGGCATATAACCAGATTGTGCCTGAAGATGAGGACGGAGCACGCAAGGAAATGCCCTGAAATCTGTGATGTCAATTCTTGACTCAACTCACCTTAACTGAAATCACCATAAAACTGTCTCTATCTTGACGCGTTGGTGAAACTTATTGTGACTGTAGCCGATAAATTCAAGAGCTGAACTGTAGATAAGAAACTCGAACGCAGAACAAATCGATGCAAAGCTCACACAGTAATCAAATTAGCCTGTTGTTTTAGTTTCTCGCAAGCCTCGGTGATCTTGTCTCACACGACCCCTGTAAGATGTGCAAGAATTTGTTTCTATCGGCCGCATTGTTGCTGACTTTCGCGGCAGGTATGTTTATCAGGTTTGTTTTTCAAATCAACAGATTAAAATCGTCTTCTTTCCCTTCTTCAGCCAGCCACTTTTCCTCTCCCTTCTTCTTCTTCTTCTTCTTCTTCTTCTTCTTCTTCTTCTTCTTCTTCTTCTTCTTCTTCTTCTTCTTCTTCTTCTTCTTCTTCTTCTCTTCTTCTTTCTTCTTTCTTCTTCTTTCTTCTTCTTCTTCTTCTTCTTCTTCTTCTTCTTCTTCTTCTTCTTCTTCTTCTTCTTCTTCTTCTTCTTCTTCTTCTTCTTCTTTCTTCGTCTTCTTCTTTTTTCGTCTTCTTCTTTCTTCTTCTTCTTCTTCTTCTTCTTCTTCTTCTTCTTCTTCTTCTTCTTCTTCTTCTTCTTCTTCTTCTTCTTCTTCTTCTTCTTCTTCTTCTTCTTCTTCTTCTTCTTCTTCTTCTTCTTCTTCTTCTTCTTCTTCTTTCTTCTTCTTCTTCTTCTTCTTCTTTTTCTTTTTTTTTTTTTTCTTCTTCTTCTTCTTCTTCTTCTTCTTCTTCTTCTTCTTCTTCTTCTTCTTCTTCTTCTTCTTCTTCTTCTTCTTCTCTCTTCTTCTTCTTCTTCTTCTTCTTCTTCTTCTTCTTCTTCTTCTTCTTCTTCTTCTTCTTCTTTCTTCTTCTTCTTCTTCTTTCTTCTTCTTCTTCTTCTTCTTCTTTCTTCTTCTACTTTCTTGTTCTTCTTGTTCTTCTTGTTCTTCTTGTTCTTCTTGTTCTTCTTGTTCTTCTTGTTCTTCTTGTTCTTCTTGTTCTTCTTCTTCTTCTTCTTCTTCTTCTTCTTCTTCTTCTTCTTCTTCTTCTTCTTCTTCTTCTTCTTCTTCTTCTTCTTCTTCTTCTTCTTCTTCTTCTTCTTCTTCTTCTTCTTCTTCTTCTTCTTCTTCTTCTTCTTCTTCTTCTTCTTCTTCTCGTTCTTTTTCTTTCTTCTTTTTCTTCTTGTGTTACCGTCCTGTGTCAACATGGTCACGTGGTTTCTTCTTCTTCTTCTTCTTCTTC